TAGGAGATGTTAATGAACTGGTAGTAAGGGCAGTTGGGTTGGTAGTAAGGAATGTTGCAAGAATAGTATTTTGTAAAGTAGCTAGTAATAGTAACTTGTTCGACTGATTGTAGGAGCTGCTGGTAAACTGGTAGTTTTTAGATGTTGTTGGACTGTTTATTATAAGTCTTTTTAGACAGCAATAATGACAAACTTCACCAATACCAGAATTTGTGAAAAATATTTGGATAGAAGTTACAATGTGTTACACTGGACTTTCTTACTAAGTTTTAATTTAATTTTTGCGATAATAACCCGCCCACAGATGATAAAAATCACCACAGATGATTCTTTAACCCTAAAAACATATATTTTCACACCAAACGTATGTCTGTTGGTGCCCTAGAAGCAAAGTTATGATAGAAATAGTTACGGAATATCGAGGATGGCGGCCATTTTGAATTTGGTCCATTAAAAAAACCAAGAGTGCCAAAGTCGAAAACACACTTTCATCATAATCTGGTATTTGGTTCCCTATCTAGGCAGGCTTTATAGATGATAGATGACACTTAGTCACACTTAGAGAAATGAAGTTCAAACAGAAAATACCTTGGCACCTTTTTTTCCAACATTTTACCATCAAGCTACAACTCTGTCAGTCTGTTACCACCTGCCAATATTTGTCCAATATGTTACTGGAACCAAGAATGTTAGAGACATATTGACCTATAGTTATCTCAACAATAACTTTCAAACAAGTTTAAATATTATTATCATTTTATGTTCCATGGATTTTAATCCCATCTCTATCAAGGATCGTAGATACAAAAGGGAGGGACATCATCACTGTCACTAAACACTATACTCTATTTCCCCTCCGGATATATTACTTGCCCTTCCGATCAATCAAGTCAATGTAACTGAAGCTTCTTTCACTTATTCTTCTACTATTCATGGCACAGACTGCAGTACTTTCTGGTCAGAAAGAAGATTTTGGCCTTTTCAATTTTTAACTATTTCTTTATTCTATAAAAGCTATTAAATTGAACGTAAATTGCTGTACTTATACAACAAAAGAGATGTTCATATCAAATTGTTGACAAAAGGTGTGAGCTATAAATGTTTGGAAATCTAAAGAAATTATAAGAAGGAAGTAGTGAAATATGGCGAGATTGACTCAAAATCGCATGACATTTCAATATGTAGGTCTATTGTTTGAT